AGTTGAAAATTTGTTATATTGGCAGTTTCTATTACACTTTTGTCGTTTTCCAAACATTTAACAAATTATTCCTAGTCACATACTGGTCAACGTGCCTTACAAAAACTTTTATCAACGTTCATTAGTTTTTGTATATTTTCATATATGTCTTGAATGCTTTTGTCAGTAGTAATTCTTGTTAAAGTGTCATAAAATTTATTGTACGGATGCACTGAGGAATGAAAGCATAGTCTATAACCGCCATATTTTAAACTTTTAGATGATATAGGAAAAATATGTTGATGGGATTTTTTTGTAGATGAAATATGAAGTTACTACAGATTTTAGCAACTACGAAAACTAACAAAAACCCGAGTACTATCAAAGAAATATCTGTTAAGGCTATATAATTTTTTCCCGGTGTTGTTATAATCATTTTACAGTGATATTGTCAAACTTACATTATTTCAGTTTGTGTAATTTCCTTAACAGAATTTGGATGAAAATTTCCGCTTTCAACTGCATTGTTTTTAACCTAATTCAAACAAAGTTCACAATTATTGGTGTATCTGTTATATTTAGTTTTTTATTTTAGTAATATTACTTCATATAAAGCTTATGTGGGAAAATCAACACCACGAGGGAACTTTCGAATCATCTTTGAGGCGTGTACATTATAATATTTGAAATGTGTTTTAGTTTTTGCAACTTGTCTCCCACATAAATATTGATAAGTGTTTAATAGATATTAAGAATAACATAAATAGGAATTATTTTCCACAAAAACTTATATGCAAAGAGCTATCACTGAACTTTGATAATAACTCCCTGTTTAGGGCCAAGAACAATTTTATCAAACGATGATATTTTGTCCCTAGGTAAGTATTTGTCAACGTTTGGAGTTACGATAGCGATTTCCGCTGTAGCTGCCATATAATTATCCGGCAGTACAGACATTCCGTCTATTTCAACGTCGGATGTCCCAAAGTTTGCGCCAATCAGGTAGGCCTTAAAAGTATGCAAAACCTCACCGTATAAATGATGTAGTTTACTACAAGTCATTAAAAAAGAAAATAACATACCGCTCCATTAAAACTATTAGTGGATTGATAGAATCGACCGAATAAGATAACATCTTGAGTAAGTGGTGCTAATTGAGTTTCGCCAAGTGCAAAATTGTAATCACGATGGTGCATTTTTGCCACCGCTTTCAGTGTTTTCAATGGTGAGCGATAACCAGTAGATTGAGTCTGTAAGTTGAGTTATTATCAGAGTGGTTGAAATTAAAAAAGTGAACTTAATTCTTGTTAGTGTGAAAATTGACACAACTCTATTTAACAAAAATTGGCAGTATAACGGGATTCGTAAATAAAGGAGAATAGAAAAGTCTATTAGGAAGCATAAATAGTGGGTTAAGATAGAGTCACCTTACTCCCTAATTTATACAGAAGAAGGCTTGATGACTTGGAAATTTTGAATGTTAGTTGATTTGCTGTGACAGTCTAGAACTGAAGAGTACGATTACCTGAAAATTGTCCTCATTGTAATTAAGCATGGTAGAAAAGAATGATTTCTGGCTGCCAGCTGTGAAACCGCGGTATTCGCTGCTATTCCATTGCATCAAACCAGTAAATTTGTTTTCAGGACCAGTACTATCTTCAAGACTTAGTTCTTGTCCGTAATACATTTCAATAATACCTGGCAATGAAAGCTGCACAAAGCTCAGTAAAGTTGCTGTTGCTTTGTCGAATCTCGTACTGAGACGAGAAACGTGGTAATTCGTGAACTGCCACGCGTGTGGAAGATGTGTAGTATTGAACCATTTGAAAGATGTAATAAGTGTAGAGTGTAAGCATTGTGCTATTCCATTTGGACATGATTCCTAAAGAAGGAATAATTTAGAAGGTTTAAGAATTCATTATAAATGCTTCGTTTCTTGTTATCAAGAATGTATAAATTAAGTTTCAACTTTTTTCTTTTTTAGAAAATTGATCATTTTGACTGGAACTGACATTATTTAGTTTGGTGACTGAATCATCGATAACATATGCGAGGTTCGACAGATTGAGACCATCAGATTCTTGTAGTTTGGTGAAGTCACTCAAAGATGAAAACACAGCGATTTCTCGACTACTGGGTGTTTCAGTACTATTCGCATAATCTCGTATATTTCCGATGAAATCATTGATCATTGATAGTGCCACATATCCCTTAATTTCTACGTACGTAAAAGTAATCTGATTATATTATCAAATCATATTATTCATAACTGAATGATATGTTAAAATGGATGTCGAGCAATTAGCAATTTTGAATAAGTGAATTTAATAATTAAATTTGTTTAGGGAGTAAAAGTTTTGGAATTCTAAATGTTTAAAATAGTTGTAGTTTATTCTGAAAATATTGCAGTTGGTTGTTGATACCTCTGATTTTGGTAGATATTTGATTAATTCGCCAATACGATCCACATGGAAACCATCAACTCCCATGTCAATAAAACTTTTTGCAACCTCAAAGATACTTTTCTTTACCGCAGGATTACTCCAGTCTAGTATTGGGTCTTTCCCGTCATAAGCTAGATAAGCATCCTTTTTGCCCTCTTCAACAATATAATTTGGGTTATCTTTTACATCCAGTGCCTCCTTCCAAATGTAATAACCAACGTAATCGCCACCCGCTTTTGCTGATTTGAACCTAAAATTGAGTATCCAAAAGCCTTAATAACTTTGAAGTGAATTCCATTTCCGCTTAAGATGGAATTTATTAGGTTTTTAGAGTATAAATTCTACAAGAAGTCAATATCCATTAACGAAGGAAGACAAGGTTGCAAACCATTTATGTGATGCAGATGTTGTTGATATGGGCAAATCCATGGTAAAGTGCATATCTAGTTCATGTGTTGCATCTATCAACAATTTTAAATCATTCATTGTACCGAAACGTTCATCAACACTTGTGAAATCAATCACATCGAGAGGGATGAAATCATCCTGAATTATTTCTCAAATCTATCAAAAGTTATAGAAATTCCGCATGAAAGTATGTGATAGCACTTTTCTCAGTTCTGTTCGCAACGAATTTTTTCAAAGTACCACCTAACCTTTTGAATGGTTATTATAGGTGTCACCCAAATTGTTTTTATACCAGTCTTCCGTAAATCATTAAGTTTTTCTCGGATTCCATTAAAATCACCAATTCCATCATCATTGGAGTCACGAAAGGAAGGTGTAAATATCTGGAATTTTATTCCACTCAATGCAATTGTATATCATTGCAAAAATATTTTGAAATGACCCAATTGTTTTTTTTTTTTTTTCTTGTAAAAAAGTAATCCTAAAACATTTGAGAATTGACTGCAGAACTGGCTATTTCCGTATTGCAGGAGTGTGTGTTTGATATTTTCCAAGATAAAAATGAACTTCGTTTATACGTATGTACTTAAGATTACCTGATAGCTAACTTGCTTACGCCACCATTCCGGTTCTTTTATCGTTGCGCATTTTGGACTAAACACAATAAGTAGCACAGCAGCTATAAACATTAAAAGCCATACCACCCAGAAAAGCAGAAACATTGTGCACCTGTAACAACTGCTTTCTTCAGAAAAAAGAAACAAACAAATAGTAATATCCAAGATTTGAATCCAAACGAGTTTTCATCAAAATGAATTGGCTTTTCCCCACATTTAAACCAATGTTTAAATTTTACTAAATTTAGAATTTACCTAACTACCTTCCAAAATGGGTCATTGCAATATTGTTCTAGTTCATTTTTTGTAAGTCCGATCATTTTTTCATCTCTTTTTATTCCATTTTCATCCTGTAAGGAAGTCGTGATAGACATAAACCTGAATAATCATATAAATGGTTCATTTCATGGATATAATTTTTGCTAATTTTCTTAAATTTACTGGTACTGTATGAAAGGTAGTGTTTCCGCCTGATTTAGAAACACTATCAGGTAAACATTACCAACAGGTGTTCAGGTCTTGGTGACCATAATTGCTTCGAGAGTTTCCAAATGAGAAATTGATAAGAATAAATGCGAAGAGACGAATAAAAACATGAAAACATACAAATTTTGGTGAAAAGGTTGCCTGTATTCCTTCATAACTCGATTCTTTGATTTCTAATTTATAAACTTGTGGCGTTTTAGTGTCTTCAGACAATGGCATTCTCGAATCATCCGCATCCATTCCTGTGTGACGCTAAAATACTAGCCGTAGAATTAATAAAGCATAAAACCTTCAAATTTCCGGAAATAATCAAAAAGAATGCTCCATCAAATAATGGGTGGCTTCAAATAATTAATATTGATTTTATCCTAATTCAAAAATCTTCAGATAAATCTACGGAGCTATCTTGAAATTCCGGATAGCAATTTCAGGACATGTCGAAAATTCTTGAACAAAATATTATCGTGATAAAAAAACAAGTTGATAAAAAAAAATTTTTAAATCGCGTAACAAAGATTTTCTGTAAAATTAAAAGTTTTGAAAAATCATAAGTGAAAGGAAAGAAGCTAACATTATAACAATACTACAAATTTTTTTTCCTTCACTAAAAATTAACGGCAAAACAGGACAGAACAAAATGACACACAGCTATGCATTCCATTATGTTTGCCAACATTTAGTTCTTATTTCTGATGCTTCTGAAAAGCATGACCATTTATATGAGTGACACTTTACGATTAATGGTTGAAATTGTTTTGTAGATCATAAATCAACATTAAATTTGACGATCATAAATCACAATGATGCAAAAAGCAAAGAATTATTCTTTTCAGCTCTCTTCTTTGACCTCATTGACACTATGTCATGTGAGACAAGTAATAATTTAAGAGATTAAAATTCAGCAAGTCTTTCTAAAAAGTAATTTTAAATCATTTTAGTAAACTATAACTTCTCACTTGAAATGTGTCTCTAGAATACAATTTAGGATGTGTTAATATTACTGTTACATTATGAAAGTTCAAATAAGCGGTAACAATGATTCATATTGTATTGAAACAAATCACATTCATGCTGATATATTGATCGTTTTTTGTTTTGTTTTGTTTTGAAGTTGTCGTGAGATTACTGAAATTTACAAAATTCTTTATGAAAATAGAAAGTGATAGGAAAAGAAGAAAAAACTAGAAAACAACGGTGCAAGTATTTCGCTTCATTAAGGTACATGAGGAAAGACAGAAGCAATGAATATTTGTTCAACAGTTTGCTTTTCATAATGGAATCTTTTGAAAGCATTAAAGAAAGCTTAGGAACGAGAAAGAAGGATAAGAATGAGAAAGAAAAAAGTTTGGAAACAATATTATAATATTTCTCATTCATCATTCAATAATATTGCAACACTGCATAAGCTTTTAAGACGATAAATTTAAAATGGGATCGGATGAAATTAAAATTTTGTGAATATTTGTCAAAAAGTTTTAAACAACTACATTTCACTTAAAATTTCAAAACTTCTGTGAAACAATTTTGCATTACTAATCTTTTTAAACATAAACACTACAAGCATGCAATAAAAGATGCTATACTCAAATTGTCGACAAATTAATTTTGGACTTTTTTTTTTTTTTACAAGGTATATCAGGTTATAGAGATAGGATGAAAAATATGAAAATCATATGATACCTTGAAAAGTATATTGGTTCAACTTTAAATTTTGCATCATAAATCGAAATTGCAAATTATCTCCAAGTTTTAGCAACATTAGCATTGAAACTATTGCATAATGATGTAATTCGTAAATTGTCGGCATAAAATTGATCCGAAATTTCACTTCATCCTAATGAAAGGGAAAAAAGTGATCGGTAAAGAGAGACCAATAACATCTACGGTTAACAAAGATAGAGGAAATCATCATCGGAAAGATAAACAGCAGACTGTGGTGACCAGACTGATGTGTAGTGGCGGCGCAATACTTCAGATTAACAAATGGCGCATTGCTGTTGTCTCTTTCACTGTTAAATCATTACTGCAACAGTTACAATAATGATAGCGACCATAACCATTTTGCAGCACTGATATTGCAGTGATAATAATGATAGCATTAATTATGACTTTCTTCATGAACAACCCTACATAATGTACTGTTGAACTGCGGGCATCAATATGGCGATGCCAAATTAAACCGACAACTATCAACAGTTAAGCGATGTTTTCTTCTTTTACCCATTATCAAACCATTTCTACTCATTTCCATTTTTCTCTTAATTTCATTTATGTCAAGCAAGTTTTCTCATCACTTTAATTAACATTTCACTAGTGCAAGCACTAAATAAAATTTATCTTGATTTGAAGTCTATATTAGTAAAATTAACTTCCAACATAGATAACTTGATATGATGCTATTGTTTGCAAAATATTGATCACCCGAATGTGTCGCATAATACTCTCATGTTGATTCTATTATTTTATTTAAATTAGGAATTGAAATATTTGCCCAAAAGCAACGCTATATGTAACGACGAAAGATCAGTGGAATAGAAATTATTCCAATCACTGATGAATTTTCAACATTACATAAAACATTTAACGATGCTGACATTGTTTAACATCACCAATGATATCACATTTAAACCATAGTATCAACCACAATTCTTTACGTCTCATTTGCTAACATTCTCTGTGACTGGCATTTTTCCAAAAAAAAGAAAAAATGAAATTCATAAAATTTCAAGTATGATATGAAAAGATGTTTCGATAATAGAATGGATTTACATTGATAATTTTGGACGAATTAGTCACATTGCAAAATAAAGATCAGTTTGCATTTAGAGAACAAATCTTGCAAAATTTAGAGTGAAATAACAGGAAGTTGTTTGCATAATCAGTATATTATTATATTTCAAATGACTCACATTGCTTAGAATAGAAGAGTTTGACAGATATCTAAAATTCATTCTAAATTGTTTGAAAATTTTAGAAATGTTTAAATTTCTTGTCAATATTCCTACCCATATTCATTACCAGTTACTGGGGGTAAAATGAAAGCCTAAGTTATCCTTGAAGAATTATTTTCGAGTTAAGAAATGAAAACAGCACAGAAAAAGCAAGGAAAATTTTAGTTTGTATATCCAAGTAGCACCGGAGAGGACATCAGAAACATACCAACTCAGGTAAACTTTGGCATTGATTGATAAAAGCAGAAGTCAAGTAATAATAAGTGTGAAATAGATTACGAGCAAATTGACTCTTATTGTAGGAGTACCAAAATCAAATGGTAGTATATTCATTTATCTTACCCAAGAAAAAAAATTGAAACTAAGGAATGAAATTAAGAACCCATTCACTGAAGTGTACTTCGATTAGTTGAAATTTTGCTATTATTTTGGATTATTGCATGATCAAAGCTATTTGGTGACAATTACAGACCCCAAATCCTGCAACAAAGAAGGGAAAGATACCGCTGCACAGTTAACGAGAGGTCACCTAATTGTCACCCTTCTATTGCTTTCATTCTGAACAAAATGAAACAATTGTCAGAGAATCAAAGGATATGAATAATGATCATAAATGTCCACAATACTTTGACACTTCTTAATATAATGAAAGCTGATCGCACTACAACCAATGAGACTGTATCTTACGGTTATATCATCGAACTGTTGTTCCGTTTCTGCTTACAGATAATGAAGCAAATTGAAATTGGTGAAAAATAGACGGTCAGTTCACTTAGTGTATATCATCCTATTTCTTGAGCACAAAAAAGTCTGTGATTTTTAGTAATCCAAGAAGTTTGAGAGACCGACATATTTCGCACATTTTCACATGTTTGGCATGTGATATGGCGAGATGAAATTAATGCGAATTTACGTAGTATTTTCATTCGACTAGCACCATCCGACATCTTACCACTGACTGTGGACTGACCGGTCCTTGAGCAGAAAATAGTAAACCGGAAATATTTTTCTTCAGAATGTTAGAAAAAATTCAAGTTGATGATAAGAAAGAAGTGACTGATCACTGAATATTAAGCCTATAATCAATGACATGAATATTTCGAGCAAAATTAAGTCGTTAAATATAAACTGTACATTAGATCTGGAAGCACTCTTTTAAATCACAAAATGAAGAAAACATATTTTGCTGTAGATACTATTTTTTTAGCAAATCTTTTCCTTTCAAAAAATACTGTTAGATTTTTGGATGAAAATAAAAATGATGTAAAACAATGCCAGATAAAGACAACATCGATAATAACACAACAACGATTTGCTTAGTCCATTCACCGACTTAAAGTTATAGAGATAATTTACAGATAAAAAGAATGAAAGCTGTTGAATTTCACAAATTTTGCTTCCCATATTTGCAACACTGTTAATCTGGCTTCAAAAAATTTAAACTCGTTGAGTTACAATTGAATATCAACTTAAAATTGCATAAAATAATACCGCCAAATCTTACTAATATTAGCTTTGTAACATCTGCAGCAAAACTCGAAATTATTCTTGCGGATCTCAAATACAAAATATATCAAATAAAATTTTATTAAACCATAATACTAAAATTTGCCCTAATCGAACATTTTTTAAAGAAACATGTAACTGTTTCAAATTACAGCTCATAGAAGCAATCATTTACCCAATACTCATTTTCCCGTTCTAGCTGAGCATATCTGCGTGTTTTTTTTTTTTTTTAGAATTTTTTTTTTTCACAAAAAACATACCCTGTTAACAAAGAGTACATGCATTTCTTAATATGTTAAAACCAAACCAAATTTGCTTGCAACTTCAAAATATTCCAGAGATTTCCTAATCTTTTATGAGAAACTTGCAATATTAAAACCCATCTCTTACTATAGAAAAAATAAGCATCTTTTGATAGCTCTTTTCTCAATAGGGATCATGCGTTTGTTGAAAGTCAATTCCCACGATATAAATCCTTTACCTAGATTCAGTTTTTTGTACCAGCAGGTTATGGTTCTGCTGCTCGCCCTCAATCATTTAATTCAAGTCTTTTAAATCCTTTAAGTTCTCCATCAATATATTCTTTCTCTTCACCTCATACCTACATGCTCTACGAAATTATCAGTGTATTGTTGCAACAGATATTAGTGTAGTTTCAGGAAAAATTAGTAACGAACGTCACCACGTGTTCGCTAACTTAATCCCTTTTTAATTTTATTCATCATCTCATATTTGTATCATAAACATGTGCATCACAGAATTCATAAAACACTATAACAACTAAGACAAAAGAAAACTACTTTTTAAAGTGTTTTATGCTTCATATTTTTTGGAACAAAACCTTCCTGACTGAAGTATACCATCAATTGATGTTTTTATGATAGCATTTTGAGTTTTGACCGACAAGATTCCTTTGCCTAAGGCAAAATCATTGACCTGAAATGCAGCACCAAGATCACGAAGGAAATTTTGGATTTATTTTTTGGATTGAAATCGTCATTAGAAAAAAAAAAAAAAAAAAACTAATGAATTTAGAGGAATCAAATAACTAATTAGGATGACTCTGCTTGTTCAAAATCAAAGTTTTCTTCGTTATCAAAGAAGTAAATCCATTATTGGTTTCGTGTATGACTTAGAATAATATGGTCTGAGACGTAGCTCAGTGTCATTACCTATGAAAATCCAAAATGCTGAAGTATTGAAATTCGTTCTTTTCTTGTATTCAAAGTAACGACCAAAGTATTTAGAACAGAAGTTAGCATTATAGAAAATTTATATAAATCCTATCAAGTGAATCAACTATTACAAACTTATTAAGTTTCGAATCAACATATTATCACCTCTAATTTTGATAAATACGGTTTTAGTTCAATAAGATAATTATAGATCACAGTCGATAACAACTTGATTATTCCACAGTTAGCAGAACTGCATATTTTATCCCACAAACTGAAAAAATCACTACTAATTTAACTGCACAACCACTCTGCCTCAAACGCTATCCAAACCATAAAAACCATAAAACGTTTTCAAGAAAAAAAAAGTACTTTAACAAGGGTTCATGATCAAAAACAACCGCTCCACCACATCGTATCCAAAAATTCATTGGCATTTTTTCCCAAATAAGTTCATCTAAATTGCCCATTTCTGCATAAGCTTTTACAAGTTGGATTTTTAGGTTATCGACAACCTAAACGATGTAATTTTTTCTTTTTTAAATGATCAATGTTGGTTACACCATTTAGTTCTTAAACAAGCTTGGTCATTACTACAACTAATCGAATGACATCCTTGGCGAAATGGTTTATATCATCTTTATATTTACTCTATCATGCAAAGTTAAGGATGATGCAAACGCATGGTAATACTATATTATCAACAGTGCAGAAGAGTAGACTAATTTATGCCAGCAATGAGAACCAGCAATGAGAACACGATTTGTATATATATTTTAGAAGAAACCGCAAAAAAAAACAAAAATACTAACCTCAGTGAGGACCTTTTGAGTAAAGACATGAGATAACAATTCATCAAAGACCTTTGTTAGCCAATAAATGTCGACCCAATTCGATTCACAAATTATTGACATTTGTTTGGCTATCTATAATTCAGCTATTAATTTTTAATTCTTTTAGATATAATATAGACAAATTTCCTACGGATTTTATCCTGAATTTTGAAGTAGTGAAGTGAATTGTTGGGCAAAGAAAAGAATAAAGCATTAAAAAAAAAGTAAATCAAGAAGTACAAAATCTTTTCAGCAAGAGAAAAAGCATCGCCCTGAAGTAGCTGCTTTTAATTCTGTCTAATTCTGCAAAAATTATATAATTTCAACCCGAAAAGGTTTACCGCTAACTGTGCTTGAAAATCCATTTCTAAGGCATGTTGATTGTTGCGCATTATAGCAGCTTCACCGCCGAGCTGAATCATTCGTACAATATCAATAGCTGTTGGATGATAGTCCATACCTAAATCTCTACTATTGTTTGTTCTTGAAGTGCTTAATCGCATAGCGCAAAGTGATGACAATAAGACTTCGGCCTAAAATAGCAAGAATCAATGACGGTGATAGTGAAAGAGAAAACTGTTTATCCAGAAAACAACTAACTGAGGCTTCCGGTAAAAATAAATCCGATTTTCTACTTCTTGGAAAGAGAATAGAGATACATATTATTATACACTAAAAAAAAAAAAAAAACCAACAAAGCACTTACATCAATAAAGAATAAAGTGCAAATCTAATCGCTTGTCAGCAAAAGATATTAGATAAACAAATGCTCCAAAATTAGTTAGAACCCAAGGAATTCTCAATTGTCGTGACTTAAAAAATAAAAATTATAATATATTTGGAACCAAAATGATGAAATCTGAGCTAACTTCTTGTATCCGATGTTTTGCTATGTCCTTCCTCACTTCCGGTGCAGTTGAGGATACTCCTAAACAAATTTTAGAAATGATTTACTGACAGTATAAAAAAAAAAAAAAAAAAAAACTGCCATTCGGACCGTTCAATTCCAAAATATCGTCTAGATCAATATCATGTTGTTGTATGTTAAGTGATGTGTCATATTGCTGTGATTGCATGTGGGATACAATTTTTTTTAGACCAGAAGCAGACAACACATCGATCGTTAAGACATTCTGTTGTCATCTCCCTAATTTCATGGGAGATACTAAATTAAGAAACATAAAAATGGTTATTAATTGAACATAACAAATTTGTGGTCAATAGAATTTGAAAAAAAAAAAAAAAAAAAAGATTTCAAGAGAATACCAACTCAGCAACAATTTCCAAATTGGTACACGGTGAATCTTCGGCACATAATGCTTGAATGCGAACTGTGCTAATTTTGTCAAATCAACATCAGAATCTTCGCGTAGGACTTGTTCTTCAATCTGAAATCGACTACATTCCGCTTTGTCACCAACCATACGACCAACAAAATTGGTACGGAAATTACTCGACCGATCCATGTTGCTAATTCCTGCAATATGTGTAGATATTTTTGCTAACCATAATAAAAGTACGAAAAAAGATTAAATACTCAAACAAGTCTAGAAGTAATGCATAAAAACCAATCCCTTGAACGTCTTAAAAATTTGAAGGTATAACACATATAAAGCTAATGGTGAAAATGGCAATGAAATTGAAACTGTATTTGGGGATATGAACCTAGTGATCGAAGACCAGTCTTTGAAAGCTCTACTACATTAACCTCAAAGAATACAAGATCAGTGGGTAACATACAGCAACAACACCTCCCGAACAATTTTCCAACCAAGCTTTCTTATTCCGATCGCTAAGTCACCAGTACCCTCGTACATTTCTTAATATTATCTTCTAGTTATTTGCAATTGTATTCATTCAAGCAGATATTACAAATTAAGCAACGCCCCGCTTTTGCTTATGTATGGCGCCATAAGACGAACTCTGTAATTCCACTTTTTTTTTTTTTGATGTTTCATTAAAGTATAATATGCACTAACAACGTATGTCCAAACGTTAAAAAAGCGATTGTAATATAAACACATATTACCTCCGAAATATGTCGTAATGAATGATACTAACGGAATAAAACATATTATACTTAACATTTTGATAGATGGAACATAAATACATAGAAAAATTACAAACATGTAAAATAAACACAACACTTCTGAGTTTAATAATTTTATTAACATTTTTCTCGAAAAATTCAGTGCGTCTCAGGGCCGTTTTCGGATAAATTCTGAGAAAGTGAATTTATAAAGGAGTATTTAACAGTGTTAATAATTACTCAGTGAAAAACTTTCATATTTATATACCAATGTAGCAATATAGTAATTTATATACCAGTGTAGCAATATAGTAATTTATGTACCAGTGTAATAATGGTTCACAATTATATTGTGCTACTAAAGTAAAAGTAAAATAAAAATCTATCGATTGAAAATATAAAAAAAACAGTAAAGCACTCATACACATCTCTGCTGCTCACCTCTTAGAGACATTATAAGGATTCATAAAAATTGTATACTGAAATATGCGTTTAATTACAAACTTTATAAATATCTGAATGAAACGAAAAACCCAAACAATCCAAAACACTGGAACGTTTGGGATGTTTGCAGCTTCTTGAAATCGATCCAAGTATTTAATTTATAACCCCGTCTAAATTTTATAAACGAAGACTATAATAAATTCATTTCAGACAAAATATGTTTGTTTGCACAAATCATGTGATGTACGTATTCATTTTTTGAACTTGCTAAGTGAAAGCTCTCCATATATAGTCTAACTAAGAAGTAATAATATCTATGTCCAAACAAAATCATTGTACAAAAGCAAGTTGAAAGCAATAAATCGCTGATAATTGTAAACCAGGAAAAGAAAGCAGTTCATACTAAATTCATACATTGGAAAACGGTATCAATTTAGAAAAGTAACAAAATATCAAGCAGAGGACGAAGCAGCACCAGTGTTCAACCGTGTTGCACCAGAAGCTGAAGGCATTTGTGGGTCATCATGATCCATTTCCTCGTCGCTCTCCTCCTTCGCTTCCATTTCTCCCTCATTTTCTCCAAAATTAAGCCATGACTGAACAGTTCTCATAATCAACATAAACTATTACTATATTGGCCAGAGAGTTAAACTTAAATACAGCAATAATCCTCAGACGAAATTTTCTTGCAACCAAGTACGACCAAGAAATACGATGCATATATGCGAAAGTTTTTGAACTAGACTTGTTAAACCAGCTTTATTGATAGAGCCTAGCAGAGAGTGAATTAGCAGTACTGTTTGCTTTTGGTTCATCTAGCAGTAATTAATTGAAATAAGAACTGCTGCATGCTGAAAATTATCTACAAAAAGTAATTCCTTATGTCAAAGGAGAAATGATACAGAACCTGTTCAACGATTTGTTGCACTCTTTTCTCGTACTCCCGTCTGTTTTCTTGGTAAAGCTGAGCAGCGATTGAATTAGCAGGACTGTTTGGATTTGGTTCATCTAACAGCGACTGGATGGAAGTAAGGACAGCGGCAACATCATACGTTGGAGACCATCTATTCTGCAATAAGACTATACTGTAGATTGCTAGGAATAGTACAGTGTGAATAAAATCAGACAGAGGAGGGCCCCCATTCTCTATATGTTAAAATTCAGTATCTCACCATAGCTAAATCTTTCCTCTCATCTATTTGTATCTTCCTCATAACCCTCACTTCAAGCAATCTATAAAAATTATGTAAGAAATACCTGCAAAATATCAAGGCAGATGCTACCATCAGCATAAACATTCGGATGAAACATTTTCGAGACAAATTTCACCGTAGGAGGCTTGTTGGGATACTCCTCAGTGAATTCAAGAGTCAATTTGAATGTCCCATCTTCAAATGGTGTATCCTGCGGACCAAAAATAATCGCTTCCCACATTAAGATGTTATCCTCCGTTGGAGCACCACTGACACCAGCGGGTGGATCCTCCTTGAAAAAATCGTTTGAAGAAATTTGGTTACTACCAAATTAGATTAATATCAGTAATACAGATGATTAAAAAACATACCTGTAGCTTCATGAAATCACGCATCAAACGTCGCCGTGATGGTGTTGTCATAGCTTACTCCTGCAACTGCTGTAATTAATATTATGGTAATTCAATAATTCATAAGAACACCAACGATATGCACTTCTTTCTTTTCTTACATTAGAACACGGTAAGCATAATGATATTAGTAATTAATAGAAATATTAATGGAATACCAAGCAGACTATAGGTCTATTCGATTGAACTTGAAAAAAAAGTACTCATGGGAATACTCGGCCATAAAGAAAAACATGAAAGTGAAATGGAAGAATGACAAGAAAGCATGAAAAATGGAGAACAGATAGTAGTATACGAGTACAAAACTGCAAAGAAGCGATAACAGTTTGGGGCGAAATATTCACAGAAAATTACATCATAATCTGTATGTCGACGCTGTTCAAACACTTATATTTCGTGATAACGACAAGTATTTTTAATAAAATGAACATGATTTGACTTACTAGAACAAAACCATGCAAATCCTACTTTGCGTACTCATTACAACCATTTCGTTCAATTCACAATTAACAAAAGATTAAATCCTAAACCATTTTGAAATCGCTACCGAATTTAGAAACTGATGTGGTTTTTTTCTCACTGCGTACCACACTAAGAGCTCTACCAAACAAACTGATTAAATAACAAAACAAAGAAATTACCAGTGATTTATCAGACATCAAGAGTAATAGTAATTTTTGACGGATTATTATCAATTTAATTAACTACTAATAACCTGGATATACTGGTGCAAAATGTTCCTCAAATGGACTTACAAATAGTAGTATGACAACATATCTCAAATCAAAAAAGGTAAGGAAATCAACTATCAAGCTATTCTACTCAATTCACTGAACAGTGTTAAAATTATATAAAAAGAAAATAATACCTTATGTTTTCTTCTTCATATACATTTCCATCATGTCTTTTAAAAGCTGAAAAATACAACAGCTCAGCTATTTAATTCAAAAATTCCTGCATTAATTTGACGAAGAGTTGTGGTGAGAAGTAAGCAAAAGAATTATCGCTGCTAAAAGTTAGCACAAGCTAAATAACAGGTGGAAATATCACCTGACATATATATGTACACAGTCACGTATGCACGCACACACACACTTTTATCAGAAAAAACAAAACAAAGATCCGAATTGACAGCATTTGAAATGCGGCTGCGGCCGCAGCGGGTTGAATCTTGGAAACGTCTGTTTTTCATAGGACGGATTTAGTTTGATGGTGTTAATTAATGTGATGTGTGAGGAGTTTGTAGTTAATTTGATGTATTTAAAGAGTTTTATTTATTTAGTTTATTACTGTTTTTACGTTTGACTATAATTGGTTGAGTAATATAAAAGAGTGCATTTTAGTGTTTTGTGTCAATTTGATTGTCTCCATTAATGCTTGTAGGTCTAATTTTATATAATACCAATATATTATTTGTGCATTTATTAAATGATATATTAAATAGATCTGGTGTAAATTTAATTTAGAAAGTCATATATTTGAATGAATTTACTAATTAAAAATGTTTTGATACTTTTTTTTGCTTGTCAACACGAACTGAGGAACGATATCTTTTTCAGTTTGTTGCATAAAAGTCTGTGTAATATTACCTTATGAGCGTCGTTTATCATGATTTATCACTGATAGACTATGTGTTTTTTTCGTTATAAAGTAATACCATTTAAGATATGTATATTTTTGTGCGGTTGTTTCTCAGGTTATCAAAACTGTTGTCTGTTTCTTTTATTTTTATCTTTTCCGCTGATTCATATGCGAATTTTACGTCTTGATTTTTCCTTATATTTTGGAGAATAGCTTCTCACATAAATAATAATGCGCTAATTTAGAGTGTTCTGAAAAGGCGAAGAAACTACGTCCTAGTTGTATCAATTTTTAGTTTCTAAATTATTTCCAGATAGGAAATAATTTTTGGCCTTGATTTCGACATACTATTTTATAGTATATGTATATGATTTCAAAGTGATTTGTAGTTTACTAACAGTTGCGGTATCTTTTTCTGTCATCCCTAAAAAGATATGAAAAGCAGTAGTGTCTACGAATGGTAGAAACTCTGAACATTGATTTATGTTTACGTTAATGAAGTATTTAGTGGTAGCAGTGATCAAAGAACATTTTTCTTCGTACTAGAAATTAATTGTATTGTCAGTTCGAAATTATTAAGTCGTTTGATTTGAAAGTACAAAGGAAAATTTTTCTTTCCCCTTCATGACTACTTATTGTTTACTACTTTCGGGGCATGATATTGCAACGTATCGTGGTAGTTATTTTTTTTTTTTTTTTCTTCGATTTTCAAGTATGATGTTAGAAAACAAATAGTATAGTTGTCTACTCACTCATCGGTCATAATCATTTGAAGACGGCAGTTAATTTGGTTGCGGTGTTAAAAAAAAGAAACAGATGTTGCGACGAACAAGTTTTTTGAAAAACAAAGCATCACTTAAATTATTAGGACGTTTGAAATGCATCAGTTATACACTGTCTAAAAGCAACCTAATGGGAAAACAATGCATTGTTTCTGGATTACGTCAGAAATTTGCTGCTGCACCTGTTAAAGTAAGTATCATTATCTTTCATAGTTTTCTCGTGATGAAAATTTTTTTTTATAGTGCTAGTAAGTTGTTTATCTTTGTTAACCGCTTCATTAAAAAATGGTTTACTGAGCGATTATAGTATATTTTTTGAATTAATCTAAACGAGATCTCAGGATATTATGAACCGCTTAATTCTTTTATGTACAGGAGGAGCCATTTATGAACGGTACTTCAACGGTTTACATTGAGCAGATGTATGAAGCATGGCGACAAAGTCCAACATCGGTTCATTCCTCATGGAATGCTTATTTCCGGAATGTTGAGCGAAGTAACCTATTATCTATGGCATTATATTGCACAAAATGATTTTTTTTCTTTTTATGCATTATTGTGATTAGTTTTATATTAACTCAATTTTAGGCTTGCCACCTGGACAAGCATATTCTGCGCCTCCAAAAGGATTACCCTCATATTCTGTTTCATCTGCTGTAGCACCTGCACCGGAATCTGAATGCGCATTGAGTCTATCAGGGCAAACTATAAATGAACATCTCAAAGTTCAGCTTTTGATTAGAAGTTACCAGGTGATTTCAAATGCGTCTCTCAGCATTTCTGCATATCAATTTTCTTCTTTAAAAAATTTAATTACCATTTTTAGACTCGCGGACACAACATAGCAGATTTAGATCCATTGGGAATCAATAATGTGGGATTGACTGATATTATGCCTGCAGAATTAGATCCGGCATTTTATGGACTTACGGATACTGATATGGACAAAGAATTTCTTTTGCCAATGTCAACATTCATTGGTGGAGATAAAAAATCACTAAAATTAAGGGATATAATCAGTCGTCTGAAGGTATTTTCTTTTGTTAATTGCTGTTTTTTTTTTTTATTTATTTTAATACCAGTGTTGCAAATATTTGTCTTTTGTGAATGGTGCAACTTTTTGTATGTTTCAGACTATTTATTGTTCGCATACGGGAATTGAATACATGCATTTGACTAATTTTGAGCAGTTGGAATGGGTTCGTAAAAGATTCGAAGAGCCTTGTGCGTCAGAGCTTACACACGAGCAAAAGAAAACATTGTTTAAACGACTAATTCGGTCAACAAAATTTGAAGAGTTTTTGGCTAAAAAGGTACTCAAGTGGCATCTTTTATGAGTCATTTTCAAGTTGAACTCATTACTACTTTTTACAGATTTACCACACTCTTATATAGTTGAGCTGGGATATTATAGGAATAATTTGCCATCTGCAATACATCATCCTACCTAAATAAACATCAGCATTTATTGGTTAAGATGAGAAATGGCTAAAATTAGGAGAAAAATACTTATTTTTTGGTCTGTTAAACGTATATTCTTTCTCTTTTTCAACTTAAAATTGCCGTCAGTTATTTCTTGTGACATCCTTTTTTGTGTAACCATCTTTGAAATTCAAATTATAGTGGCCAAGCGAAAAGCGGTTTGGTCTTGAAGGTTGCGAAGTTCTAATACCAGCTGCCAAACAAGTAATCGATGTATCTAGTGCGGCTGGTGTTGATTCTGTCGTAATTGGAATGCCTCATCGGTAATATCTCTATGCCAGTTTTTAAAACTGAAATTTCGAAAAGACTTTAAGTTAGTGTCGTCTTTGACAGGAAGAAGTGCTACCATGTAAGCATGTAACTTCATCCATGACAAAACTTTTAGGGGACGATTAAACATGTTGGCAAATGTTTGTCGCCAACCTTTATCGGTGATTCTCTCGCAATTTTCTACATTGGAACCGGCTGATGAGGGATCAGGTGATGTAAAATATCATCTTGGCATTTCCTTGGAACGTCTCAACCGAGTTTCTGGAAGGAAAATTAAAATTGCTGTCGTTGCGAATCCATCTCATCTTGAAGGTTAAGTTACGGTTTTTTTCGGGAGTGAATAATGGCACGAATAGATTGTGATTTAATTTAGTTGTTTTTTCGAAAAGACCATGAGAGATTTCCTTACTGTTTGAGAAGGATGATGATTTAACAATAGGAAAACTGAAAATCAGTAAATCTTTGTAGTTCCTTCGTTTACCTACACGCGTCTATTATGCAGAAATGAATTAATTGACTGTTCGTTAACTTTTGTAGAAAGATTGTAACGACGTCACTTCAAAAACTGTTACCATTTGAAGATTTGACTAATATTTTTACAGCCGTTGATCCCATAGTTTTGGGCAAGGTACGGGCAGAATCATTTTACAATGGTGATGAGAACGGTGATCGTACAATGGCAATTTTACTGCATGGTGATGCAGCATTTTCTGGGCAAGGTGTTGTTATGGAAACATTCAATCTTAACGATTTAAAAGCTTATAGCACGCACGGAACAATCCATTTAGTCGTTAATAACCAGGTAAACAGTGTAACATACTTGCTTTAAACTTACCGAATTGTTGTGTTTTCTTTAAGTCACGTTTATAGAGTACAAAAATTCTTTAAAAATTATATTTCGAAATTGAAAATTTTCAATTTGTCCCAAGAATTACTTTCGGAATCTCAGGATTAGTGTTTAGATTGGCTTTACAACCGATCCACGATGTTCTCGATCATCTCCTTATTGTACAGATATTGGACGTGTCGTCGGATGTCCAATATTCCACGTGAATAGTGATGATCCAGAAGCAGTGATGCATGTCTGTAATGTAGCTGCTGATTGGCGTCGTACCTTCAAAAAGGTTGGTTGGTGTGTCGGCTGTACCTTATAAGCACGCTGTCTTTTATGTATTCAGAGCAGATTTCTTGTATGACAATTTTAGGATGTTATCATTGATCTGGTGTGTTATCGGCGATATGGACATAATGAACTTGATGAGCCAATGTTTACCCAGCCACTGATGTATCAGCGCGTTAAAAAGACGAAACCAGTGCTTGCAATTTACCAAAAGCAAATTTTAGCTGAAAATGTTGTTAATGAGCAATATGTAGAGGTATAAATTTAGTGTTTTTCGCAAAATCAAAGAGGAAACAGTCATTTTAAATACGTTTAAACATACAGTCATCCAATGCGGGAATCAAACCATACGTGAAAGAAGCTTCATCATTAGTCTTTAAAGCTTGGACTATTCGTTGTTAAATCATCTCTTTTAGACCACCTTTTGTCGAACAGTTCGTCACTTATTCATGTAAGGTGCAGATCAGTAGTATTTTGAAGGATGAAGTAAACAAATACAATGCTGTATTGGAAGATGCTTATCAAGAAGCACAAAAAGTGGCATATCTTCGTCACAGAGATTGGATCGATTCTCCATGGGATACTTTCTTCAAAAAGCGCGATCCATTGAAAATACCAGCAACTGGTGTTGCGAAAGAAATGATTAGTCATATCATTGAGAAATTTTCATCTGTTCCAGAAGGTACCTCGTTTGGTTTTCTACCAATTTTAGAAAACAGAAACTTTTAGATGGTAAAGTAAATATTTAATTTTCATCAATTTTGGAAAGGGACGTAGGACTTTGGGGTTACGAAGTTGTGCGATCCCGACTTTGGTTTAAAATATGTGGAATATTACGTACTATGAGAGGTATTATGTTGAGGAGCTGTAAGCTTGGTAAAACTATATTCATAACCAAAACATAATTATTTTTTTAGTTTAAATTCCTAATTTTTTTAAATTTAAATTTTTAATGAAAAATGCAGATTTTAATCTTCATCGGGGTTTGGACAGAATATTGAAAGGACGACGTCAGATGTTTCAAGATAATAGTTTTGATTGGGCAATGGGAGAAGCGGTTGCTTTTGGGTCTCTCCTTCTCGAAGGTATGTTTATGTTTTTTTTTTTTTTTCTTTCTTTTTCCGAAAGAATATTGCATGTTTTTATCACCAACTTTAATCTTTCGAATTTTGAGGTACTCATGTTCGGTTGTCAGGACAAGATGTTGAAAGAGGAACATTTTCACATCGGCATCATGTGTTGCATGACCAGAAAATCGATCAAAAAACGTATAATCCACTGGATAATCTTTCTGATAAAGTGATTCCGTTTCTTTTGTTTGTAATTTATTATCGTTGATAGGAAAACAAATTCATGGTCCCATTGTCAAGAAACAATTGTCAGCTTCGATTTATATGAAGCATTATTTTTTAAATTATGGGTTATTATTCATTTACTTCAGCAAGTTGAATATAGCATTTCTAACTCATCACTTTCGGAATTTGCAATCCTCGGTTTTGAACTCGGTTATTCAATGGTGAATCCAAATTCGTTGGTTATATGGGAAGCACAATTTGGAGACTTTGCAAATAATGCCCAGTGTATTATTGATCAGTTCTTGTCTTCAGGTCTTGTTGCATTTTTCATTTCCTCGTAAATATGAAATAATGGATTGCAAATCAATACATTTACTCGTTATGTGATTCGTTACTTATTTGAAGGTCAGTCAAAGTGGATTCGGCAATCTGGATTAGTGATGTCACTGCCACATGGCTATGAAGGAATGGGTCCTGAACACAGTAGCGCACGATTGGAACGCTTTTTGCAAATGTCTAATGAAGATGACGAAATCGATGTCGATGTATGCATTTAGTGTCAAAAATGTTAAAAATATCTGAGACAGGAAAAATGTTGCGGGAAAGTAGTTCATTAGAGTAGCCTTTCATAATCATATTTCCAGCATACCGCCTTTGGTCCTACTTTCGAAGCGCAGCAATTATATGACACTAATTGGATTGTAGTGCACTGCACAACACCTTCCAATTTCTGTCATCTTTTGAGACGACAAATAATGTTACCTTTCAGGTATCGTTCTCTGAATTATATGATTGCTCTGTGATACACATTTTGAACACGAATTTCACACGAACTTTTTGTAGGAAACCATTGATCATTATGTCGCCAAAATCGCTTCTTCGTCATCCATCAGCACGTTCTCCCATTGAAGATTTTCTGCCTGGTACTAAATTCTGCAGGGTCATTCCAGAAGGCGGAAGTGCTAGTCAGGATCCAGATAAGGTGGAGCGCTTGGTTTTTTGCACTGGTATGATTTTTTCTCGTTTTATCTCCAATTTCTTTGAAAACTTTCACTACTTGCACCTTCCTGACTTTGCTACATCTGATATTTTTATTTGTACATTTCAGGTAAAGTTTACTATGACTTGATGTCTGCGAGGAAACATCTGAATTTAGACTCACGAATAGCGATTTCTCGTGTTGAACAAATCTCTCCCTTTCCATACGACTTAATCGAGAAGGAATGTCTTAAGTATAGCAAAGCAGAGCTGATTTGGGCACAAGAAGAACATAAAAATATGGGTGCATGGGGATTTGTTCATCCAAGACTTGGAGCACTTATAACAAAGTTCGTCAATTTTTCTGGACTTCTAGAAAGTAATGAATGTCAGATATTTTTGCTCATATTTAGTCCCCGAAATAGCGGTTTTCAAATATATACCAATATTTTCTCTTCTGCTGTATTGGCTATTCAAATGAATTTTGGAAATTTTAGACAGGGAAGACTGTTGAAGTACGCTGGTCGAAAGCCATCGGCATCTGCAGCAACGGGTAACAAATATACTCATTACGTCGAGCTGAAAACCCTTCTGGCAGACGCTCTGCATGCTCGAAAAGCTGATCTCGACGAATTCATAGGTGGATAGTGAAGTGTGAGTGTTCGATTACTGGTCAAACTCTGACTTATTTATATTCTTTTAGTCGTTTCTTCTCGAGGATATTAGCTGAAGAAAGCACGAGATATTCATTTGCAATCGAATTGTATAACTTAGTTGTTCAGTGAACTCAGGTAATTGATGTATTTCTTTGAAAATATCCGTCAGCTAACTACAGTAGTTTCCATATTGTAGGATGCTTTGCATATTGCTGAATTTTTTCTCTGCAGAAAAAGCTGAAAAAACGCTCAGGAATTCTTTAGATTTATCATACGAAAGAGTTTCTACCTTAATCAAACAGTTTAAAGGTGCAGGAGAAACGAAGGATGAGGAATTTCATACATGAAAATATTAGACAGTTTTTATACTGACAAGTTTCTACAATCTCTAACAAACCCACGAATTGCAGTAAATTTCTTTATAGAAAACAATATTGTATATCATGCTGTAGAAAAAAGAATGTAATGCATATGAAATCTTTATCTATTTCCTCTAAAAATGAAACCTGATTCAACTGGAATTAATTGCTGGCTACTCTAAGAAATGCACAAAGATAGGTGTGTTTCCCATTTTCAGAATACGATACTGTTACGATCATTTGGTAATGATCCGTGAATAATAGTATGTATCTGATTACAGCGATAATTATGGTATGCGGAAGTCTGTAAGTAACGTACATCTTTAGCACATAACTGAATACCAAACTGTGCAACATCTAACATAAGCGAATACATTACAAGTGTCAAATAAGAACGATTATGAGTACGCTGTATTTCCCCTAATTTTCCATGAGATATATTCGAACAGGGGTGGAGAATTATTCTTGTCATATTCACAGCAGTAACCATGTACTATGTCATACAGCTGTCCTGCAAAAGGATAACAGTTGGAGCAGGCGAAAACAGTTTTGGGATACGGCATGCCTAGACATATCAGAGTATGGTATACCATTCAAAAAAAAAAAAAATTATATGCATTCTGACAATTTCCAGTGAAACATACTAACTGTTATATCGGCTTGCACCAGCATCTCGTAAATTTCAGTAAAGTTCTCTGCAAACTTTAGATCTCCAAATGTGAAGTAACAAAGACATCTTTTCTGTGCGGATGATGCCATAAGTTGTATTAAACCTAAATATTCATTAAGCTGATTAAGAGCAGAATGAATATGTGCAACTAACAGAAATTTCTAGTTGCAAGAGGAAGCAAAGAATCACTTTTTAAATGCAAGTCACCTCCAAAAACACCACAACCCCAATTTCCAGTAGCAACCGGCTTCATTGTCCCATCATTTACAGCAAAGCCAACATAAGCCTAAAAATTCTATTTCCATCAATCCTTACAAAAGTGAGAGAGGAATCATATATGTAATTTAATCTATATAAAATAAATCATCTATATAATTTAATGTTCATACCTTGAGCAATTCGCGATTTACTAAATCGATATTAAACTGTTCATGTTTGTTATAAAATGGAAGAGCATCAATTGCTACCAATTCACAACAAAGTCTATTGAAGCGATCCCTGAAGTTAAGTCATCTGGTACATAAATCAGAAACATATCATTACTAAGTGATAGGAATCTCCCTCCAACTGAACATTTGTAACTACTACTTATTTTTGCTTCTCCAAAGAACATCGATATGAAATTCTTTCGTTTATCGATAGTTGGAATGGCAATAGTAATGGAAATTAGAGCATTCTTCGTAATTTCAGATACCAAAAAATGTAACATGACAAGGAAAAAACTGTAACAAAACTCAACAAAAAAATAAAATAAAATAAACCTCGGAAATGAATCCATTTTCTCCATCGGACGCCAACGAAAAGATGAACCGTAGCCGTTGTAATCAGAAAACCGTTCCGCACCACAAATAACTATAGCTTCGTTATGATGCATTCTTTCGCAGAGAATCATAGACACTATCATTTCCGGGCAGGTAAGAAATCTAATTTCCTCCTACAGAAATAATATTTTCAGCAAGCTTATCAAAGAATGAACAAATCTAACACTGGACGTTGCTCCACAACTTACCTGAACACAGCCACTGCCTAGTACCCCTCCTCCAATATATTCATTGGCAAAATCCACTTGTAACATGCCATGACCATCATCTTCTATTGTACCTGTATGACTAACATAAAGCTTCGATAATGGCAAATTCATAGAAGACCACTTCTGCGCTACGTCATTTTGTCGGCGGATCGTCAACAGTCCTGTTGGCACTATAAATAACTTGTGCAAAGTTTATTTTTCCCTATTTACAAACTTATAATTTTTCTTACTCCAGATGCAGTGTTTTTTGTTGTCTTTAAATTAAGAGTTTTTTGAAGAAAAATGAAAAAAAAAATTACTTTTTTTGGAAATCATATGGAAATAATGCATTAAGCATCGTAGTTTTTCCACTGCATTTGTAGAATACAAACTGAACAAACGGTAAAAATTTACTGACGGCAAATCATTACTGACAGTATTACGACTTGGAAAAGTGCAAAAGAATGCATGTGCAAGCAGTGAAGCTGCTTGGTGTTGACTTATCGTTACTGATCCGGAAATTCCACGTCGCAATATTGGTATTGGCTGGAACAGCAATGATTACAAAACGTAAAACACATTTTTGTCAACAATTTGCTTAACTTATATGCCTTAATTATAAATTACGTTTTCTGTAGCTTTCTCTGTCATATGGCCTACCACTGCTGTATGCAAAACTGCAAAAATAAAAAAGAATGTAAACTTCAACTTTTAAACACAAGATATGCTGATTATCTAGTGTCTTAGAATGTATAATGACATATTAAAATAGCACACGACTACAGGAAGATAATGCTAGAATACTATAAAACAACTAATACAACTTTCATAAAATGGTAGTACTCTATTTAAATGAATATACCTGAGTTATCAAACTTGGACTCTCTAGAGCCAGTTTTGCCATGAAAGGTATTACGGTGGTAAGATATTCTAAACGCAACTTTTCATCCAAAATTTTTTCGAAAAGTAATCCGAGAGCATCGAATCTTTTGGTACGTGAATAGCTTCTAATACATTCCTGTTGAAAAAAAAAAAAAAAAAAACAATGTTTGATGATCACCACTACTCAGACAGATGAAAGACAAATTTGTAATCGATACCTCAATTTGCTTATAGGTCTTGAGCGGCTTCAAAAGTTTCGAAATTGCAATCTGTATAATTTCATATCGTGCAACTCCATCAGTCACATTACATATAGAATATGGTAAACGAACATATCTAAAATCGAATAAATGACACTAAAATTTGCAAGCACCGATTCGGAATCAGAGAATTTTCGAATCTGCAACATTAATCCCAATGCTACAAGCAGGGCTTCATCCTTTAATAAAGCTTACTTTTTCCCTGAATTCCATCCATATGTTGGATCAGCGCAGAGGACGGGGCATGGTTTAAACAAGGTTTCAGAAGATATAGAATTTATGCATACTAATACCACATCGGAAACATCTCTGTTGTTCAAGTCAGGATACATATCCTTATAACAGCGTATCGACTCGATAACCGACTGCAATGTTTTCCTCATAAATACTACAATGGATATATGCACCTCCCATACAATTAGCAATATGCAAATATATACTTTATATAAATTATCTATATGTATAAAAATATATTTTGTCTCCATACTTTTTTATTTAAAGAGCAATGCGTAAAATGTGTGCCAACTTTAACATATTTATCTAGAGTCGCATTTTCAGCTTTCATTTTTGCCTGCAAATAAACATACTCTTCACTTTTGAAAAGTATGAATCCAACATTACTTTTTCTTCATGAAATGATCTTCAGATTCCTTTATTAGGTAACGAAAATGTATGTCAAAGTAGAAAAACATAATAATGAGATTTGATACTTTCTGAAGCGAAGTTAATGCAGGAAAGAAAAAACAGCAGGAAAAACACTTCATCCAGTGAGAGCAAAAAAGCTCACTTTTTCCATGACGTCACTCATTCTTACCCAATCATAACGATTTCGTCCTCCATCATGATCCACTTCTTCAACAACAGATCCAAAAGATTTCCTCGACTTCAATTTACTTTTTGAAACAACTGAAAACTATCATTTTTGTCACTAAACTATTAGGACGTAACCAAAATGATTGTATATTTTATCCGATTAATATAATTTACACAATTCAGTGCAACATGGTTCATTACTATGTCACAAACAGATGTTGGATATAATCTTAAATTACTGGAAGACGTCCTCGATCACGTGTTGGACTAATATCTGCTTCTGTCAACTGCAGTTTTGGTGATATAACCGTCTACCTGAATGAGTAATCGTCATTGACATCCGATTACTCTTGGCCTTCCTATGAATCAGTTTATCACTGACAAATAACTTCCGATTTGATCCATTTGGCAGAAAGGCATCTAATGTTGTTTGCCGCTTTAACACCGTTTTTCGACCCAATGAACTACGAACATTCGTATCATTCTCCACGACAGCACAATCTTCTATTTCAATATGCTCATCATTCATTAGTTTACTATCCTAGAAATTATTGCTAATGATCATACGATAAGAGTTACGAAATAGTGCCACAACGATGTATCACTACGTGTCTATCTATCGTACGTATAAATTAAATAATAGCTTAGTTCATCAAACGTGAAGACTCAAGCGTAGTACTCATTCTTTTATGATGCACATGAAATCTCTCATTTCGAGTGTATTCTAAAAGTGTCGTAACTCTTGGCGGAAAAGTCTGTTTGTGGGCTCACGAAAACTTATGCTATTAAACAGAACGTATTGTATTTAATGAACCAACGTTGGCCCATCAAATGAAGCCTTTGATGGAATCTGAAATTTTCTTTTCCATCAAAATAAGGTTAAATGGTAGAGTGTCCTATTATATATGAGTGAAGTTAATTTGATGTATTGTATCTATTTGGTTAATTGGCACGTTCCAACAACGTTACCTTATTACTCAAATTTTTACTTAATCGAATTAGATTAAGTTAAATCAGTTACCACATATGGCTATTCATTTTTCACTACCACTTGATAATAAATTTGGTGAATGCATAGAGTTAGTTTATTATCATCAAAGCGTGCTTTATTCAATATGTCGTTTCCTTCCTAAACTTTATTTCGCAACAAAAAAGGAGAATTATTGTATAAAATCGTCATTAAGGAAAATTAATTTTGGACACGTAATTTCCGGAATTTCCCAGATAATCGAGGTGCAGAATGCTCATAAATTTATGAAAAGGAAAAAATTAAGTTTTAAGTATTATTATTTCATATGCATCAATTATTGATTACAGCAATCAGTTATTATTAGAAATGGAGATAAGTTTTAATTTATAGGCTTAAGTTACAACAGTACGACTGCACATGACATCATAGATTTTGAATTCACTTAGTTGTTCGGATGGGCTTATAATGATCGGTTAATATACATATGTTATCATTCGGATTTTTTATACTATCGCTATAATTTTAACGAGTAAATAATACCAGGTTGAATTCCGTATAAATAATCTTTCGTATTTAGAGACGTTTAATTCTGATATAATCAACTTATAATATTTGAAATTTTTCTTCACATAGTAAGCCATGCAATTTGTCTAACAAAGTTTTGATCAAATAATCAAATAATTCAAATTTAATTCTCTGATAAATAATTAGTATTGCGGATAAAAAAAAAGTGCTTTAGGCAGATTATGATTTGATTCTAACATGTTAAAAATTACAATAATTAAAGGTTCAAATCTTATTGGTATTACAGATAAAACAAGATTAGTTTGGCAGAAAATGAGTTATATGAGAACCATGATACTTGATCATGATACTAAGGCATAATTACATGTCGCTTATTCCAAATTTCTTCACATTTTCATTTCTTGCTGTATTATTCACTTATTTTACATCTGAAATTATCGCATTTCATGGAGTGAATAAAAATTACATATATAGTAATGTTTCGAAATTTTAACTTTTTTTTTCTGTTGAGTTTTTAAATCCAGTGGAAATAATATATTTGTAAATCATTTCATCATGATTGTTGGAATAGATTTTTGAATTTTATGCATGATGTTTTAATTTTGATTGCAGCTTTAAAAAAAATGATATTTAAGTGTGTATAAAGCTACAAAATCCTAAATATGTCTTCAATTTTTTTCTTTCTTTTTTTTGTAATGATTATTTTATTTTCTCTTCTTTACTTTCAAATTTCTCAAATATAATATGCTTAAGCTTTAATGTTCTTGTAATGACAATTTGATTCATATTGAATCGAACAAATTATAATGTTATCCATTGCCTGAAATTGATAAATAATACATGTGTATGTATTTTCTCTTCTGAAAGTCACAATTGGATTGCTTATTATTTTCTTTTTCGAGAGATAAAATTTGTAACTTCAAAACATTATCATTCATTTAGCACTCGGAAGACTGAAAAAAATTTTCATTTACCAGAGTGAATTCTTCAAATGATATTTCACCATTCTTTTCATAATCAGCTTCACTAATTGTTGATATACGATAGATTCAAGAAAAGAAAGAAAACTGGGCACTTTTTTTGCTTAATTTTTTCTTTCTTGTTTTGTAAATTAAACTAGAATTCATCAGAATATTCGAATATGGAATGTAGTTCAAATATTTAGTATTTTGAATGATTTTGTTGCGATAATGCTTATATTAGTAAAATTGTACAATGAATTAAGGATTTTCTGTTCGTAAATCAGAACTGTTGAATGAGAACCTGTTCGGATGTTATATTTGAGCCAACCATCATATTCAAGATCATTTTGAACTCATTTCTCGTAATGTAACCATACATGGAAAATGCAACTGAAATTTATTTTTGATCAAAATTTTTCACAGTGAATCAGATTGCTTTCTCCATTGTTTTCTATTTCAAATTTTAAAACCTGAAAGTGAGAATATTTTGAAATTTTAAAATGAATACATATTAACTTTTCCACACGACTGTTAATTGCAACATATTTGGTTGTGGATGTGCATGGTCTAAGATATTCCAATACTGTCGTGAGAGGTTTGTCTTCAGATACTCGAATATTTGTGTAACAGTAGTAAATCTTTATTTTTATTTAACGTAATATCAGTAACCTGAGCAGTAGAAATAAACTTTATAAAATCGGAGGAAATTTAGATTGGTTATGAGGGCTTATAGTCGACAAGAATGACCATAATGAATGTTTTGTTTATTAGAATTGAATTTATATGAGTGAGAATTGGGCGTGTCTGAGATAAAAATTACATGTGTGAAGAATTTTAAGAAACTAGATCTAAGGATAATTCATGATACCGTAAGATTGTTTACAAGTTAAAAATAATTAGTTTTATTAGTCTCTAGTTATATTAATCTTATTATTTTGGTTAGAGTTTTTCGAAATTATAATTCGCGACAAATACATGAATAAATTCACGAAATGTTAGCGTCTTTTCTGAATCTTTCCTAAAATTAAGTGTGATGGGTAAGGTAAAAAATTGAAACAGTACTGAAGAAGGAATTAAGTTTTGAATTTAATTTTGTATTGCTATGACTTTTGGAATCTTCAACTGTACATATGTCATCTAAGTTTGGTATAAATAGTATTGAAAAATGACAAGATAAAATTTTTGGGTATTTTAAAAAAGCTAAAAAGACCAAAAAAACGAATGATTCGCATATGTTTAGATTATTTTAATGAAATGTTGACTAAATTTTATCATTTTTAAAGCAAATATCAGTAGACTAAAACATTAAAAAAATGTGTTGATAAGTCAGATATCAAAAATATTTGAGAAAATATTTACATAATGTTGTAAAATTTTACAACTAACTTTTCGATAAAAAATGCATCAATAATTCTATCACCAAGAGGATTTATAATAAGATCTGGAATTGTGAAGAAATCATCACGGTCAATGTATCCTCTTCCTATATACTTAATTTTTTATTAGAAATTTTAGGATAATATTCCTTTTTTTTGTATGAAAAATAACCAAAATATTTTAAATGATAAAAGACGAAAAAAAAATTAGTGATGTAAAAAAAATTTTAATTTACTTTTTACTCGAGTTAATCAATTAAGAACAAATTTTGCAGATAATTCTAACAAATCAAATTGAAAGAAACAAATTTCCCGATTCTCTAGATCAAATTGTTGCACCTCAAATTTTTGTGCATTTCAAATAAAATTTTTATGAAAGTTTTCAGAAAATAATATTAATATAGAATTAATAGAACTAAAGAAATTAATCTCTATCGTCAAGCGTATAGCTGTAAAAATCTAGCATATAGTCGAAGTATTTGATGTCGTCTAACTGCAAAAAAAAAAAAATGTTTTTTTTTAGTGAAAATCAAATGATCAAATACAGAAGTGCATTTGACCAAGTAGTATAAAAACATATTAATCATGATTATCTTGTCAAATTTTAAATAAATGTCTACTTTTTAAATATGTCTAATATAAATTTATTTGAAAAAATCATTAATGATAAAATATGTTTGATAGAATTGAACACTAAAATTAAACTTGGTTTAAGTTAAAAATCGATGCTATTATTATTGTAATATTGATTATCGTATAATTAATTACAGCATGAGAAACTATATTTGGTTTATAAAAGAGTACCTATTTTGAAAACATTTATTTTCAGACAAATGAGATTTTGTTCTCTTTGTACCCACAAGAGCATTTTTCCCCTCCTTTCCTTTATCTAATTTAACACATTAAGTAAGTGAATACTGAGAATTTTCTACGAAATAATAATACATCACTGATTAGAGGAAGCTGATAACATCATTAAAATTAATTAATGAAGGGAGTAGAAATAAAAAATAAATTAAATTACGCGGCGGTGCAAAAAAAAAACAAAGAAAACTGAAACAGTTTAAATTTAATTATATTTGTAAGTAACAAAATAATATTTGTAATAAAACACTGTATAGAAATTTTTTTACTATTTGAGGTAAATTTATTTTAAAAAAAACTTGCATTTCAAAAGAAAAATTTTTTTTGAATTTCAATGAGAAATAATAAATTGTTTTTCTTCGAAATTTTCTCCCGTAAAATTAATTTGGTGTGCTACAGTAGAATAGTAAAATCTAAAAAATATGAAATATTAGCAAATATAATAGTAAGTGAAATTAATTCATTATCTATGATTATATGTGAAAAAAAGATTATATCATACGTTTCAAAAAGAATGGAGTATAACAAAGGAATAACGAATTGGGTTATAGTGATGAATCATTAGCATTATTCTAAACGTGTGTAGTAAATATTTTTGCGGTTTTTGGTAGCATTTCGAACTTAAATTATTTTTCCCTTTTAGAATAATGAAAATTATGTATGGAGTTGAAAATGATATTTGATAAATTTTATTTCATAGAAAAAAACAAGAAAAAATAAAACAATTATCAAATGAACAGAAAAAGGTTAAAAATTGCAAAAAGAAAAAAAAAATGGTTTGATAAAATATGATTTTCTTACAATTGTAAGGGATCGATTATGTCATCAATTCAAAAAAAGAAGGGCTAAGAACTTAAAAGAAAAAGTAACTATTAAACATAGTCATAGTCGAAGAGAAGATTTATCATTTCTTTAAAAAAAAAAAATATTCTATAAATAATTCAGAAAGAATGGAAATAGGAAATGAAATGTTAATAGTTTGAAATTAATATTTGTAACAACAAAAACTTTCCTCATTCATTTTCTTATTCAATTTTTTTTTTTTCAATTTGTTAATTTATCATTTTTTCATTATACAATTTTTAACAGTTCATTGTAAACGAATTATGTTTTTGTTTGTGCATAAGTGTAAATTATCGAAATAGTGATAATTTATCATTTTTTTCCAAAAAGTAATAATATATTTACCTTTTTTTATTTCGTGATTAATTTAAAGAATGCAAAATTGCAAGAAAGAAATAGTTTAATTAATGATAAATAATTAAAATTCATTTGTAAACGAAGTTTTATTTTAGTCAGAAATGAACTAATTCTAAATGAAATATCATCAGCTGAAGTGCTAGTAAATAAGACCACTGAAATGATTGTCAAAATTAGCTGTAAAATAACTTGATAATTATTATTATAAAAACTGACCAATCAAAACGGATTCATAGTAGCAGCTGATAATCTTTTGACAATCAAAGTATTGATAACAGAATGAAAGGTAAAAATTATTAAACCGATTTAACACTAATTTAAATAAACGTTTTTGTGTCTCGTAATTGAAAGCTGCCATGATAACTTTTTAACATTACGTGAAGTACAACTGTATAATCAGTTGTAGTTACGCTAAGTTGATTTATATTGGATTATTCTGAGATTTTTAATATCATAATGTAATAAAATCAGAATGTTTTTTTTTTTTTTTCTAAACTTTTATTGAGAATTGTTTTCCATCAGGCTATTAGTTCTCATTGCAGATTCAAAGACTGCTATCAAATTTATTGCTTGTGTAGAATCTTGCTAATAATAAATTGCATAAGCTTAAGTTTAATGGTTTATTGATATTTCAACTATGTGTAAAGTAAAATTTGAAAAAAAAAATCGAGAAAATATCGGTAAGATGATTATTACACGTATAATTTTATGGTTACATCAGCAACAATACATGGTTAATTTGTTAAATATTTGAAATTGGTCTTTGATAAGATCAAGTGACAATATGTTAGCTAAGAGAAATGATTTGATAGTTAATTTCATGAGCTTGGTAAAGGTAAAGGTGAATCTAGTAGGAGATGTTACAGGTCAAATAATTATAGTAAAATAGGCTATAATATATTTGAAAGGATGATGAAATGAAATAGTGGACAGGTAAAGCGATATGTTTTTGTAGCAAAATGATGTAGTCAGTTGAAAATGATGAGTTATCATTGATAAGCATTTATTTTAATGTTTTATTCATGCAATTATGTTATTTCATATCAACAATATATAACCTTTAGATATTTATATCAGTGAGAATCAATCTGCTAGGAATAAGTTAGATAATTAAAACTAATATTCTATATTGAAATGTCTTCTAAGAATCTGGAAAGGTCTGTTCTCGAAATTATTACACTTTCAAATTAAATATTCAAAGCTTAACAGGAAAAATTTATAAATTGTTTTCATTCACGCTATTTCCTAGCATTGCATTCTACAAATTACCTCTTTCAACAATTTATTTTCATTGTTTTTTAATTGTAAAAATAGAAAATTTAAAAGGGAATAAATGAATGATTCAGAAAATTTTCGTCTTATAAATGTATACTCTTATCGCCATGTATATTGCTTGTCATTCAACTCTCTCTTATCACTCATCAATTTCATCAGAATATTTTGAGCAAGAGACACGCTCGTTTTAATGGTATTTTCGAACTAATTCTTGCTTTTTTAATTAAAACTGTGGCCAAATGAATTTGATCACAATATTTTCAAGCAAAAGCACTAGAACTTTACTCTCAGTCATTTAAAACATAAAAGAAAATGAGAACCACTCAGAGAGGGAATATGCCAAATAGGTAAAGTCTAGAAATTAGGCCTCAGGTTTGCATGAAAATTCTATTCTGAACTTTTATTACTGCTAGGACTTGGGACTCAGATTTTCGTTATAGCCACGGTTGTTCTGGTACATTTGTTTGTAGTTGTTCCTTAATATTTGGTTCGGTGTTATTTGCTAAGTAGTAAGTACTGAAAATTTTAGAGTGAATTGACGTTTGTTTACCAGAAATGTTATTGTTGCGGACAGGAAGATTTAACTTTAGCCGCTGTTATGCAGCAGGTGCAGAATTCTTGAAAAATGTTCCTCTGACAAAACGAGATGGTGAAATTGTCAAAGTGGATGATTTGAAAAATAAGGTTTGTTATCGGATCTTTAACAAAATTTTGTTTTAATTACATGTTAGGAAAGCAACAATTAGTTTGAGCTGTCATGATAAATCTAATTCGATTCTGCAATTATCTTGCCTTGTAATTTTTATTAAATTCCAGGCGATTATATTATATTTCTCATCTGGATGGTGTGGTCACTGCCGTCTATTCACTCCCAAGTTAAAAGTAATTGTTCCCATATTTTCTTGAATGTTCCCTTGAAGTTCGGACGTACAGTTTTCGTTGTTTGTCACTGTATGGATTAATGTTTGAGATATTTTTAAACTTTATTTTGCTGACATTATACAGTAGCTGTAGTTCTGGTTTTTTAGAAATGGTACGACGAAGCTGCAAAAGACGAAAATATTGAATTAGTTTGGGTTTCTCGTGATCGCGAAGCGAAGCACCAGATAGATTATTATAACAAAGCACTTCCCAATGTGCCGTATATCCCATTTGGTGACAGACATATTTTGTAAGTCTTGCTTACTTCTTTCTACGTTTTCTTACTATTTAAAAGTTGTGAGATATAACATTAACAGTGCGTGGAATGGTTTGTTTCACTAATTAATAGTTATTGAATTAGCACGTTTCTGGTAATATGTTATGACTCATGCTAAGCCAGCAGGACTTGTGAAGGAACTACGATGTGCAAAATCAAGCTGTGTTTTTTTACAGGGAATTTCTGACAAAATATGATGTGAAAACGATACCTGCTGCTAGACTAGTAAATAACAATGGTGAAGTAATCGATCAAGAAGTCAGAAATAAAGTTCAAGTACATTACTGTTTTAACTCCTTTCGGATAAGTTCAAGTCAAATGTTGTTTTTTCTGATTAAAGAACAAAACATTTTTCATAATGCGAATTTTCCTATCAGGATGAGGGTCAAGTGGACGCCAGAAAGCTAGCGAAGGAATTTCGAAGTCGTGTATAACTGCTGCATTGACTGTTCTTCACTTCAGTGTTAGACATTTCCTTAGTTTATATTAAATATCTTTTGGCTCACTTGCTTTTATATAACAATGCTTTTTTTTTCAGCTATGTATTTAAACTGTTCTGTGCCTGGCGTTCGATATGTATGTATACATAATTAAAGATTATTCATGATAAAATATATGCACTTATTTGATTAATTTTGTCGATGATATACTATTAATCGTAATTTTGTTGAAAATTACTCTGCTTTTAATGCTTTCTTTGCTCATTATCCGTAGGATATTCAGGTATGACCTCAGTAATGTATTTTATCGACTTGTCTGAATAAAGAAATTCGAAGAATTAAGATTCATGTTGAATCACCAGTTCATTGCATAGTAATATAATGAAGAACTAGCCATCCTCGGCGTATGATTCTAACAATTCATTATGCCGTATCTGTATGAAACAGCGAATCTTCGAGGATTTTTTCTACTGTAATTTGTCAAAAAAGAAAAAAGTTTACTGCTTCAGTGCATGGAGTAATATATCATTTAATTGAGACCTTTCAGTGAGATATTAAATTCTTCTGTTGTACTTTACAGTGAAATCTTTTGAAAATGAATTTCATTTTCTCTTTTCATTTGTTCATGTTTGAACTGGAAAGATAGCTTTCAAGCACTATTACAGCGTCAGCTCGACCCATTATTCGGACAGTTTGCAGAAGATCCAGCACTGCCCGCTGTGAGCCGAATTCCACAGCTTCCCATAGGTTCAGAATTAGTGATGTTGGTGAAAGACCTGGTCGGGTTGCAAAATACTGAAACGTTATTACTGCAATTATTTACATAATTCTTGTGAGTTATCGTGAATTCCTTTGGATTAGTCTACTTGACGACGATCCTTTATCCTTTTAAACAAAGATTGGACAATGTCATTACCTGAATATACCTATGGAGATTTAATTTTTTAGCGAGCCCTCTCCAGTCCTTTGTTGGATCAGTAGGGACATCGAAAAGTTCTGCTAGTCTTCGTCTTGTTACATAATCCAGCAAAAAACCACACGAAAGTATTCCATCTTCTTCCACTTCACTATCGTCCTGAAATGGATCAAATTATTCGGAAAATAGATTTTAAACTGATGAATTGATTTTGTGGATGAGAATAATGGGTCCAGATGATCATGCATTTTGCAGGCGCTTTTTCCTATACTTCGAAGTATTGATATATTACTTACGAATGGTTGCTGCATGTCGAAGTATAGTACTTCTCTTGCATCAGCATTACCCTTCTGGTAGACAACAATTCGACCGGTAATTGTTTCTAACAAATCTTCTGGAACATCAGTTTTCAGACTGCAGTGCAAACCGTTTTGCACACACCATAAATGATGGCTAGACGGTATCTCCTGTAATGTATTTACAAACATTCATTTGAGAGCTTTGGATTTGTATAAAATTTACACTTTTCTAAAAATTGTAAAATGGAATGAAGCTTAGTAATATCCTTAGTAATAATTGATTGACGCACCAGATACTGTGCTTCGGGTTTTTTAGCAAGTCCTGTCGACACTTCCTCAAGACATACACATAAGGCACCCTTCTCACGCATCAGGAAATTCTCGGATTCAGCCAGCAAAGCACCAGTATTTTCTTCTTGGCATAGGATATTCTGAATAGCAATCCCAGTTTCAGGTACACAATACACTCTGATGGAAGTATCATTGGAAATGCGATGCAAGGGGCCGAACGCAGCTAAGTGCATCCGTTTCATGGTGACTATCGTCGATCGACGTGGCTTACCCACCAATAGTAACTTGCAGAATCGTTCTATCATTATATGACACCTATAAAAGAAAAGGACTGAATTTCTATTGTTAATTTTCTTATCTGTTGCACTAATTACTGAATTTGTCCAATAATTCCCATCAGGATACTAACTCTTACTCATTAATAAAATAACTGGCACCTTGTCAAATCCATTTGACAATAGAGGGGTGTATTTATATCTTCATCACCAATTTGTGCTACCATTTCCCAGTTGTTGCTTTGATTGTTTTTTGCATAAATCATGAAAATCCAGTTATCTTTTGGAAAAATATTGGCGCAGTGTTTAAATGTCACAATAAATGGCCTATGTATGACGACATCATTCTCATTCTCATCACATAAGCCTATCATCACCACAGCACTTAGCACCGTGTTACCTTCTGAAAATAATTCTGAAGATTTAAAAGGTGAATTTCAAATAAACTTTATTCTTGTGATTTCAAACAAATTTGTATTGAGGGTAAAAGCTGGAGTTACCCAACAGTTTGGGTGAATCGTTGAGATCATCGGAGACAGCAAGGAATACCATGTGATTCGTCTGGAATGCACCCTCCGGTATTAGCAGAGCAACACCACTTCGTTTGAGCTGAGAGAAAAAAAAAACTATGATTTCATTACTATCTTGAATTTTTCAAATTAAAGTATTAATTCACATACATTCAGCTACTCCTTTATATATAATGGAACTTGAATTAGTGGTAGTTGCAAGTTTTCCATAGATTGATTTTTTTTATGACAAGTTTCTTTAGTTATTTCCAAAAAAAAGTCCACTTCAGCCTTTGGTCTAATTTTTGAAATGAGAAGTGAATCGGTATTATGCTTAGTAATGCTAGAACTGTAATGTTGCTCTTTAAAGTGAACTATTAGAAATTTTTAAGTGTTCAATTATTCTGAAAAAAAAAAGTACCAATAATCTTCCTCCCATACTATCCACATAAGCAGGAAGGACAATATGAGGTTGTTTATTGAGCTCGAAGGACCCGTACTGATCATTAACATCACCTACACAATCATACAATGTTGCATAATTTTCGTCTGAAGTTCGTGAATTTGTTCGCGCTATTGTAACTTTACCATTCGATGAATTTGATGATGATTCCGTAATTAATGCCACACGTGATCCTTTAAATGTAAAATGTATTTTAAAGAAAAAAACGAATTAAAACATTAAACTCAAAAAAAAAGAAATCTTTGGCACGACCAAAATCTCTTCTAATCTTCAACCTGTAATTTTTCTTGTTGATGAATAGCCACTGCTATTAGCAGATCTGAGCGTTAATGACGGTGGTCTTACAAGAGGATGAGTTGGTGAAGCAGTTGTTGTCAACGTATAAAATTCACTACCACCTTTTGTCATTGATTTAAGTGAATCACTTGGATCACCAAGTAGTCGTTGTTGTTGTTGCAATAATACAGTACGTACATGTCCTGCAATTATATGTTAAATTATATGTTAAAAAAACATTTTTTTTTTCTTTCAAGCATAAAAATTACTTAAGATTTGAAAATCATTCATAATATGTAATGAATGCAAATTATTCAACTTTTTCAATAAACTTTTAATGGAATATTTTTAATAATAATGAAAAATAATAATATTCAATAATAACTAATTATTGTTCAATTAATTCAAAAAAAAAGAAAAAAGAAGAAAACTAGCCACTGTTCTCAACGAAATAAAAGCCATCCTTTTCAGCATCAGTACAACGTCGTCGACATCGATATAGCAATACTGATATCAAAATAAGAATGATAAGTAAAAGAATGAGCACACTGAACAGTCCAGCATACATTGCAATTTGCGCTTCTAAATTATATCCAATGTAGGTTGGCGCTGATCGTTGTGCTACTTCTGCAGTACAATAACCTTCGCTTTGACTACAATTCCTGGTATCTAAATCACGTCCACTACATAACTGTCCACCACTAGTTGGCTGAGGTGAATTACAAGAACGAGTACGAAATTTTTGGCAATTTTCACTACACTGTGACCATGATGACCATTCTGACCTATAAAATATATGCTATTTGTTTAAAAAAAAAAAAAAAAAAGAATATAAAATTAAAAAACTAAAAACAAATTTCAAAAAAAAAACATGTAATATATTCGATTTTTCCCTTAACACATCCCTTTTCTTTATTCTCAATAATACATTTATTTATTTTTCTAATTTTTTTTTTTTTTTTTTTTAAAACCAACCAATAACCATCTAAATGACAATCCAAAGAACAATCACTGGTTTGTTCCGGATCACCTAAGCAATCAGATCCACCATTCATTGGTGCAGGATTATTACAAGTTCTTCTGCGTACCAATTTTGGCCAAATGTCATCAAGTTTAGTATGTACTGTACCGGAACGTCTCCTTGTTATTTCTTGTTTTAATTGGGCACAATCAACTTTACAATTACCATTCCATGCAGACCATTCTGCCCATTCACCATTTACTGAAATAATTCCTAACTGATTAACTAAAAAAAAATTTCAAAAGTGCTCTCTAAATATTAGTTGCATTCGTAAAATGTTAAAATGATTAATAAAATTGAGACATTCATAATTTGATTAAATTTGTTCTCAATTTTCACAACAGTATAATTACAAAAATCCGCTACTTTCTCATTTCTCTTTTTTTACTAGCATCAGTTAATCTAAATTTAATTTACTAATTGAAATATTAGGTAAGATAAATTAGGATGGACTTGATTGCTGAAACAATCAAAATTAAATTTGTCGTTGAAAAAAAATTTTTTTTTATTGCAAAAACTTAGCGTTGTAAAAGAAAAGACAATGCAAACCGACTTTATTGTTGCGTAATTTTTTGATACAAACTGTTTGCATTAAAATGAAAAAAACAAAGAAACAAAAAAAAATCTTTTTTTTAATCAAAAAAAAAAAAGTTATAGGAATTGATAAAACGTTATAAACACTAATGGTGAGTTACTACATATTTTTGGGGAAAATGGCGTCGTCTTCCTATTTACAAACCATTAAAATTAAAAGGTCATTTTTTTCGGCGCTATAACTTTTTACATACATTTGTGGGTTGTTGTTACGAGTTCTGTCCTTACTTTGTTCAGTAATTGAAAGAAAAAAAGTAATAAAAGAAGGGGAAAAAAAGAGAATCGGCGCCATATAAGTGATTAACTTTGTTTTTATATATATATATATCTTTACAATCACTATATGTGCC